AAATTTTGAAAAATTTTCCTTAGCTAACCCTAACAGGAAATAATTGTTCTAAGAACTATAGTACATTAACTAAATTTATTGTGGCAATCATTTCACAATATATACATATTCAAATAATCATGTTTTGCATCTTAAACTAACATTCCAATTATATCTCAAAGAAACTGGAAAAAAATTTTAAGGAATTGAAAATATATTAAAAAATTTTTTAAAGAATTATGATTATAATATGAAGTATATTTTACTTATTCCCAATTGTATTTTTATTAAGAAGTGTTTGAAAATATTCAACTTGAATTGTTACATTTTCCAAATTAATATTAGTACCTGGGAAGTTAATAGACCAGGCTGATACAGTAATTATAAACATACTTTCTAAAACTCTTGATGTAGCACAGAATCAACTATAATAATAATGTAATAGCTACTTAACATACTACAAAAATTGGTATTATAATATAATAATTTACCTGAGGAATTAGTAAGAAATATGACTGACAAAAATCATTTGTTCTTGAGATCTCCTTATGAATAAAAACATATATTACACAAGCACTAAGATCATCAGATGCTCTAGACCAGGTCTGGAAGGAGTTCTGAAAATGTATGAGGTTGAAAGTTGAATTCAAAACATGAGCAGATGGCATTTTATGGAACTTACCAAGTAGTAATTTAAAATCCCTTTTGTATTGTTAGCTCTCTTTCAAATGGTCTCTAAAACTTGTTCTACAATTATTTAAAAATTACCATATGAAATTTCATAAGAGTAAGAAAAAAAATTATAAATTCTTATAAAACTTGCTACTTCTAATTTAAAAGTAACTTAATTATGATTGGTAAGAGCTAAAATCAATGTTCTTTTGCTTCTTCAAAATATGTGATCAACTCCATTCCTCCATTCATTGTATATAATTAAACTGCAGTGACTATATGTAGACCTATTAACATAAATGAAGATCCTAAGATTGTGGTATAAATATAAAACATACACTTCAATATAATAAGTCAAGGAAATGGTTAGCCTTATGAAATTATTTTTCCATTACATTTTTAGGTGAAGTATTAACAGGTGGTGTTGACAGAGAAATAAAACCAACTTACATATTCCTTAGAGATGTGAGTGATAAGTTAATAAAGATCTTACATTTTATTGGTCACACATACTCCAGTCAGTTCTTGAAAAGCCCTAACTTCATCAACTTTTATAATTAAACTGCAGTGACTATATGTAGACCTATTAACATAAATGAAGATCCTAAGATTGTGGTATAAATATAAAACATACACTTCAATATAATAAGTCAAGGAAATGGTTAGCCTTATGAAATTATTTTTCCATTACATTTTTAGGTGAAGTATTAACAGGTGGTGTTGACAGAGAAATAAAACCAACTTACATATTCCTTAGAGATGTGAGTGATAAGTTAATAAAGATCTTACATTTTATTGGTCACACATACTCCAGTCAGTTCTTGAAAAGCCCTAACTTCATCAACTTTTAAGTAGTCGAAATCCATCCTAGATTGACTGTTACAAAACTTACTGCTCTTTCTTCTAAAATTATTTCCTTTTTCTCTGAAGCTCTTATTACCTTCTCTATCATTCCCTCTTTACTCTCACTTCATTTGAAAGAGAATGCACAATGCTTCATTTATCTCTAGGCTTAGAGAACTTTGGAAATCCTAAACTCATTTCTAGTTAATACAGACCACGTCCCCACTTAACAGTATCAGGCGTCTACCACTAGAACTGAGAAAGCTCATTCTTCAGCTTCCTCACACCAGGAAGGAAGGGTTATAGATATATAGCTACAATTGCAATTTTAAAGTTTATGCTACAAAAGACTTCAACTAAGTTTAAGTAACATTTAAGAGTAATTTAGGATCTAATATTTGAATCCAACAGAATTCTCTTCCCTCTATAACCATTCCACACATGCTCTAAATACAATTTTTTTTCTTAAGGTTGCTTCCATTATTAATCTCTCCCTAATCTTCAAAATCCCTTAACTAAGTACTTGCCCTATGCCTTTATGGACATCATGAAGATTTCTTTGTTCAACCCTGTTGAATTCTCTCCTCCCCAAACTTAGCTTAAATTCCTTATTTAGTTTCCTCCCCTACTAAACTAAATAATCCTTTCTTCCATTTGCCTGATATCTATTTTTTCTTAACAATTTCCAATCTGTATTGTCAACCTTACCTATCTTGAGCTTCTTTCTCTAATTCTACATTGCATAGAGACATACCAATCTTTTCCACTGTGGATTCTGTAACATGACCCCTTTTATTGAAATCTTATACATCCTCAGCCTCATCACAGAATGCTCATTTCATATCTTAGCCTGAATGGAAAGTTGATACTTCAACAAGAATATTGCCTACCTCAGAAACATTTTAAGCTCAAAATCCTGTACCTTAAGTACTATAGAACTCTGGAAGTGGTATCAGCATTCTTCTAGGTCTGCATTGTTGCATCCATGTTTATTTTTCTAATTTCAGGTAAAATCTGCTCCTTTTGTGTTCATATCATTATACTTCCTTGCTCTTACCTACTTTCAAAGCAACTTTTTACATCCATTGCCAGTCAAACTTAGGCCTTCAGTGACTTTAACGCCAAAAAAATTCTAGCATCAAAGTACGTTGCTTTCCTTGCCTTCACAAACTGCAATCCATGATCCATCTCAGAAACCCATTCCCAGGAGCAAACCCTGAATCTTTACATTATTTGGGATTTTCTAATATCTGAAAATACTAAACCTCAGTAAATCAATCTCCAAAAATAACCTGTATTTGTTTCTATTAGCCTTCAATATCTGAACCAACTCCAGTTCTTTCATTGCACCACTTCTCTTTCAGTTCACAGAAAACTCTGCATCTAAACATGATTTAACATAACCACTCTCTTCCCTAATCTGTCTGGGACAGCACTTTCAGCACTCTTCTTGCCAGCTTCCTCAGCATCCTCAACATCTTTTTCTTTCTACTATAGCTACCTACTAACTTCCAACCATAGATCCTAATGATTATATATGAAGTGTGCTAATGAAACAATCACAAAATCTTAGAGACTCAATGACATTGTAAATTTAAGTTCACTTTAAGTATCATCAGTCAACATATCTTTTCTTTAGTGATCTCCCTCTTGCATCTCCCATGGTAAGCTACTCTTAATTTTATGATTTCCCAAGCCATCAGGAATCCTAGTCTAAATTCATTTCCTTTCTCTTTGTTTTTTTCCATTTATTTCTTTTAGATCTCCCTTCCCTTCTTTTCAATCTGGCTTCCACCTTCCACAACTTTACTGGAACCAGTTAGGCAAAGAATATTGATTAGTTTTATCATTTAACAACATATTTGTCTTCCTCTGGCATTATTCTATGTAGAGTATAAGTATATATACATATATCTTGGCTCTATATTTTTCATAATGCTTTTGGCATTTCATTCATTCTAATGGAATCAATTAGATGATACTCTAATCTATGTCTCCTGCCCAGAATTTTCTCCTGAGTTCTAGACCCATATATCCAATCACTTTTACTAGATATTCATACCTGAATACTTCAAAAGAACCTGAAACTCAACCCATTCCCAAACTGAACTCTTTATTTTTCCCATAAAACTTCTTCAATCTATATTCCCTATCTTGATAGGATGCCACCATCTATCCAAACATTTCAGTCACTTGAGATCTTATTCCTCTTTTTCCTGCATCAATATCTAATCAGTCACTAAGTCTTACAGATTCTACCTCTTTAAATAACTTCTCAGATATCAACTGCTTCCACTGATCTTGAATCATCCCATTATAATCTTTTCTGATCTATGCAATATCTTCATAAATGATCTTTTTGCTTATATTGCTCCAGTTCATTTTTTATATAGTTTTCAAAGTAATCTTTCTAGAAACAAATATCTGATATTGTTCCTCTCTTGCTTTACATTTTTCAGTAACCTACATGATCTTCAGGAATACTATCCTACCTGCTTTCCCTAAACTTGTTTGTAGCCACTTTGTCCATATCATTTCTTCTGCCTGAAATGCCTCTGCACGAGGCCAACATAACAGTTGATTTATGAGTCATCTCTTCTATGAAGTCTTTCTTGAACTAATGTCCATCCTTCTCAGGTGAAAATGATCATACCATCCTTTGTGATTCCATTGTATTTCTCTATAGAGAAATTTCTTCTAGCACTTATAGTATTATTGCGTTTACTTGTCAGACTCACACTAAAAAAAAAGCTACATGGATAGAGGGCTATTTTGTGTGTCCTATTATTTCCAGCACCTAGAACAGTAACACACAGCATGTGCTTAATAAGTGAGTGTTGAATGAATATTAAATTTTAGTGCAAGTGCTACTTCTTCCATGAAGCCTTTTCTGGCCATCTGGGTGGAATAAATTTTATTAGTCTTTCTAGATTTGTAGAATGTATTGTGAAAGAGTCATCCATATTGGCACATTAACATAGCATGTTATCTGCATATTTTAACTATTCAGTGATACTGCTAGCCTGTTTAGGGCCTGTATTATGTCTTTAGTATTCTTCACAGTCTAGCACATTGCAGAACTGATGATAGAAATAAAATACTTTTAGAATTATTTTTTTAAAGTTAAAAACTAGTTTTAAGTCTAAAGTAAGTTGAAGAACAAATTATGATTAATTTGTTAATTTAATCAAGCTGACTATACACACACACAAACACACATACAATGACATACATTTGGATCTGGAGTTAGTTACCCAGTTATGGAAAAAAATATGCACATATTACATAAAAATCACTTCATTTTTCTCCATCTAATTAGATCAAGTGCTGTTAAAAGTTGAATATGCAACTACCTAAAATAAAAATGCCTGCAAGATTTAACATTTTGTTTGTTATATTTAGAAGAGAATGAAAAATTATGAGGTGAATAAAAAAATAGTAAAAAATTTCTTAGACAAGTTAAATAAATGAATAAATAACAAAGAAAAGCAGTAGAAGAGACAGACCTGCATGTCTTCTCCTTGTGGAGTCCACTTCTTCTGTGATCACATCGTGTAAAGGACAGACATAGACAAAGGAGATGGGTGTGAGTGGATGTACTCAAAAGATAAAAAGTGACACTGAAGGAAAGAGCCCCAAATCATTTTGAGAAAGAATCCTCTGCATAGTTGTAGGGAAGATGTAATCAGATACATATCATACTTGAAGAAGAATTGATGGTGAATTGGTTAAGCTACTATGGGTTAGCAGAATCAGAAAAATAAAGTTAGTGTAGAAATAAAAAGGATTCAAGAGTTTGTAATTCTTTATGAATAGCCAATCCTAAATACTGATGCCAAAGAAAGATACCATTAGTAAAAACAATTTTACTTGTATGCCCATATTATTCAAGATATTTCTGAGTCCATTTAAAATCTGTGGAGATGCTTTTAGAATTTTTAATTATCATCTAAAGAAGAATGTAATTAAATCAACTTCAAAAAGAGCAATAAAAATAGTTTCAACAGTTTTCTATACTTTAAAAAATTTCTAAATTAATCAGTATGCACATGAAAATAAAGTTTGGCCATCATGTCAATATTTCACTGAAATTGCTTCAGTACAGCCAAATATTATCATAAGAATGTTATAAAGAATAACAAATAAAATTCATTACAAGAATAGTTGAACTATATGACTATTTAAATATCACAAATTCAAATTAGCCTTCAATTTAGATAGATTTTCTTTAATCATATTCCTTATAATGCCTATTTATCAGAAAATTCTTACAGACACCACATATCATTGATGATTCCATTTAAATTACCCCATCAAAATCCAACATCTACTATAATAGATATGATATGCATTTTGGAAACACTTGTTTCTCCATTGCTAGTAGATAATTTCAGAAGACATTTTATAGAGTGATTGAAACGGAAAATATTGGCTAAATTCGGCATTCTGAGAAAAAAATTACTTCCAAAGGTATGAATGAGTTAGTATTAGTATGACTGATGCAGATAAATAATAAAGCACAAAATTAAAATCTCCTATTTAACTGCCTGCTTAGCTTTGAGTCAGGTACAACAAAATTCTTAGAACACCATATTCATTTCTGCATCATAGGTTTTGAGAGATTTATAGAAAAACATATATGAAATACACTTGGAATATTGATATATTGAAATTATAACTCTTGAGAGGATTATTTCCTGTAACAAATTTATCATTTTATGAGTAGTGCAAAAATGAAAACTTTCTACTAGGAAAAAAAAAGTGCTAAGATGACCAAAACACTTTTTCTTAAAAATAACACAAATCCTAGTATAAATAGTAGAGAACTGAAAAAGGAGTGACACATTTTGAAAATTAACAGCATCATTTTGATTATAATACATGCACATCTTTGATCTGATCAAATTACTAAATTTCATCATAATTGTGTTACAAACCAGACTCTGCTGATAAGATTGGCCAGTAGGAGAGGTACTATTCTCCTGAAATGTACTCATACAGTAATATATGTCATATTTTGCTTTCGTTCCCAATCCACCCATTTCTCAAAGAAGATAGAAAAATTAGAGATTTATTAGTAACATAGGTTAACTTTGAATTCTATCATATCTTGAAATTATTTCTTCTATGCAAAACCCCACTACATACATCATACATATTTACCATACTATTAAAATAACTTCCTTGCATGTTGAAATGAAACTGGTATGAATTTGATGAAATAACTACATAAATTATTCCACCTCTAAGAAAATATGTGTTTCTTTTTTTGCAGAAAACATAAAAATAACAGAAGTAAATGAAGTTTCTTTGTCTACCTAGTATTTTCCTGTACCCTGGATTATTTTTAATGGCACTGAGGCAATACTTTTCATGTTATATGGACACAAAGCATTCAAAATTCTTCTCATTCATTAATTTATTATAGAGAATAACTGAGGCACAAATAGTTCAAGTGACTTACCAAAGGTCACAAAACAAGTTCAGTGGCAGAACCAGAAATAGAACAGAGGTCTCCTGATTACCAGCTCATTTTTCTTTCTACCAGATGCTATATAACTCAATGCAAACAAGTGAAATAAAAAGTCAAACAAGGGAAAACAAAAAATTTCACTGTGACACCTGAACTGGATATTTTATTACATAGTATTGATTAGAATGTTTTTAAAAAGAGATACTTACTACAACTACACTAGTAATTAAACAATACTCTTACGCAGAATAGAGTAACATTTAGCACCAACAATTTATTTTCTTTTAGAAAATAATTCAAAATTTGAATAATACAAAGGATGAAAATGAAAGACTTGACAGGAATCACAGTCTATGCAAAACTAGTCCATTAAACCATTTTTCCATTTATGTGAACATGATCCATAAATAGGTTATAACAGATCTTAGATTTAAAAAATCACTTAACTTTAATTAGCAGACAGAATGTTCTTTTAAATCCTAAAATTTCAATGTGTAATTTACAGCTATGTCAAATATATTTTTTAAAATTTTATGGCTTTGTCTTCCTTGTAGTTACTATTTTTATTATATGTAATTTGTATTAAAAGCCTCATTTTAAAAGAGAAACAGCAAACCTTACCATTTAAGCAGCTATGTCTTATTTAAATGGTAATAAACTATAAATACTGATTTCACATACATTATTATAATGAAGTGTAGACTTCAGTGAACCTTGAGAAGCCTTCACTCTTCTTATCTCCCTACTTTACCTTTGATCAATCACTTTGCCATAAACATTCTACTTTGCAGTGCTATTAATGGCAGTTCTAATGTAACTCTTTCCAATGCTTCATGTAACCAATTACCATTTAGAGTGATTGAGAATAACAAAAGTATACACTCTCTTAGGTGTCCAGTACTGCCACAACTACAGTTGGATTTTAGTTTTAGACTTAGAAAATATAAAGACTTCGGTAAAGAGAATGTACAGCTTTTCTTTTTTTTGGTTCATTCCAATATATGAACTAATGAAGGAAAAATAAAATACTTCCATGTATATTACTGAAATAGATGAAATTTATAAGATAGGAATAACTCATAAACATCATTTCCTCGCTTATGGTAAATTACTTTTGAACAAATATTTTTAAATTTAAGGTACCATCAAGGTACAAACTATAAAAAGGATGGGTTTTTAATCAAACAAAGTAATACAACACACACACACACACACACTAAAGCAGTCTGTATTTTGGTCCTTAAAAATTAAAAACAAAATCTACTGACAATAAATAGCTATATAAAATAATCATTTTCATAAAGTTATTTGATTTAAAAAAGTAAGTTTTGAGAATGAACAATGTCAGCTTTTATATACAATTTTTTGCAAACCAAAAATTTTTCCCTTGCCAACATTAATGTATTAATTATTGTTAGGTTTTAAGTGAACACATTTCAAGTTCAAACAGAAATAATAATCTGCAAATCAACTTAATTTAAAAAAGTATACACATGGGGCCTGTTTATCGATGAATACAGTTTTTACCAAAGGTGTATGACATCTATTTGAAACTGTTGATTGGCTAATATTTTTATTTACCACCATTTACAACAGACATAATATTCATCAGAGTTAATTGTACTTAAGAAAATATATGTCTTATAGAAGCAAGATTTCTGTTTAAAAGATTCCTGACAATGAAACAGAAGCCCGAAGATTTAAGTGTATATTAGAACCTCTGCATAATTAAAAACTAATCATATTATGAGGGCTTTTTAAAGGTCATAAATTTTTAGAATGTTTCCTTTGAGGTCAGGAGAGACACCTTTCAAAGCAAAGCCTAATTAAGCATCTACTTCATAGGAGACCCTCAATGATAGATACAAAGATAGGATAGACTTAGAATACAAAAGCAAAGTGTTTACCAAGTTACAGATTTCAACTAAAATTTCTCCATTGTGACAAAAATCGTGTTGAAAAATTCCTCAATCCAAGTAATCTGAAACTACTTTTAAGCTAATTGTTATTTTCCATAATGTGGTCAACAATCAAAATTAGTGAAAATTAATAATAACTTCTACCTACTAAAATAAGGTACAATCTCTTTAGACATTTCACTATTTTTATAAGCTAATTAATAAAAAAATGTTTATCTTACTTCTAGCTGTGCTGTTTTTTTCTGATTCTATTCTTGTGACCTGACATTTAATGCAACTTCAAATGCACAAGAAAAATCAACTTAAGAGTATGTTTTGAGGGACTTTAAAATAATTGATTTTCAAGCTGTAACACACTATTTATCATAAAAAAGACTGTCATTAAAGCGCAGGCTTGGCATTATAAACTTATCTGTATATTCAGAGGAAACTGAACCAACTTTAAATGAACTAAATTCATAAATCATAAGATTTCATTTTATTTACAGAAAACACGCTTGTTAAACAAAGAGTGCTATATTTACATCTAAAGGTGCCAGTAGTATTTAATTCTAAAATTCATTAGTTTATTTGTGTTTTATAAAATATTTACTTTGTTTACATCACTTTTTTTTCTGTCAGAAATAAATACATTCACTGCAACAGTCCAGAAATTACCAACCTGGTTTACTGACCAAGAATACAAACGACCTTGACTCTTTTAGATTAGACATATTAACAAGTATCAAATAAGACTAATTTAGAATACTGATTTAGACTGAAATAAATTGCTTCTACCTTTAAACATGTCAAAATATTCATTAATAAAAGGAAACAGAAGTCCATAATATCAAAATACTCGAGAACTGTTAAAGTGTACAATTCACTAACAAAATACATCTTTGAATATTTACTTTTTCTTAAGACAAATTTCATAAAGTATAATTCCAAAGGTAGAATTAAAAAAAAATCCTACCTTCACCACAGTTATAGATCCATAAAGAACATAATATGGAAATATCCATGTTGAAAAAAATTAAAGGTTAATACATTACCTAAATCACATAATGTTAAAACTAGGGGCTTAGCCACACAAGAGGTTATAGTAATAATAAAATATAACTCATTACTTTGAATATTTTCAATTTCCAAAATATTATGTAAT